GCTGACTATGGTTCAAGTCCCAGACCTGGCGGCTGGCTTTCTCACTTTCCCTCTCTCTCTGGTGACCACAGGTGCCCCATAACACATTTACAAATAATAGTAAGTAAAATGAATAAGTATTTAAAGCAAAGGAAGTCACACTGGGGCTGTCTATGAATGCCCGAAATCCCAGAGGATGAAGGAGAAGGGGCAATGGAGTGGCCATGTCCCCGGGTGATCTCTCACTTTTCTCTGTCTCTCTCCAGGGAGGGAGCAATGTGCCCTATGGCAAGACGTTAAAAAAAAAGCAAGCGGAGGAGGAGGAGGAGGATTTTTTTTGTATGCAGCGAGCCCTCCAGGCAGGCACCTCTGAGGCCACCCAGGCAATCCCACGTCACCACTCTTGTCGGTGTGACCAGGGGACTGGCGGTGCTCCCATCTGCAAAGGGGAGCCAAGCCCAGAGGTCCCGGGATTTGCCTGCGGTCAGTCACCTGGCCCTCAGCAGCAGCACCAGCAAGTCTACCTGGGGGGCCTCTCAGGGACTTCCCAGAGTGCAGTTTGCTCTCAGGCCACCCACTGAGACAACAGACTCACCTCTGGAAAATCGGCCTGCGGGAGGGAGAGGCGAGGGAGGGACAGATAGATTTTCCAGGAGGCAGCTCTGCAGAGCAGACCTTGGGAGGCTGGGGTTACTGAAGAGAACTCCCAGCCAGGACCTGGGCTGGGTCCTCCCAGGAGGAGGTGAGAAATGGAAGAGAGACCAGCAGGAGGGGGCTGGCAGGGCCCATCACAAAGCCAGCTGGCCGGAGGCCTCAGGGTCCCTTCCCGGGAGGACTCAGTGCCCGCGTACCCCCACACGCAGCCCACCCAGCCTCCCATCACTCACGTGATGCTGGCGCTGCACTTCTCGCAGGTGTGGAGCTTTGGGGGGGTGGCTAGCACCCTGGCGGTGGGCAGGGAGGCCTGAGGGCTCAGTGAGCTGGGCAGGAAGGCAGGCGTGCCACCTGGGGGCACAGACACGTGAGCGCTGGGTCCCCAGCTGCCTGCACCCATGCAGAGAGCCAGGAAGAAGGAGCGCTCACTCGGACCCTGGCTGGGAGGAGCAGGGCGGGCAGCACTCTGCCTTTCGTCTCTCAGAAGGCTCGTGCACGGAGAGACTGACAAAGAGAAGGGAGTGGCCCCGCATCCTTTCTCCACTTCTCTATCCTGCCAGGCGCATGTGCGCAGGTGTCCAATGTGCTTTTCTAAGAATTATGCATTTATTTAATTATAGTATTATTATTATTTTAATTTGACCAGAGACTGAAAGAAAGGGAAAGTGAAAAAGCAAAAAGGTCCAGGACCAAACCACAGCCGGCCACGCAGAGATCCCGCACCTTTAACCACCGCGCCACCTGCCGTCCCCCTTCCGCGTGCTTTTCAAATGGTCAGACCCAGGACTCCAACTTCACAGCTGGCCAAGTAGGAGCCAGCTCTCCCACCCAGCAGGCCTCAGGAGCCAGGTTTCCCTTCCAAGGCCAGCCAGGCACATCCTCGCTCAGCATCTGGCACTCCAGGCAAAGCGGGTGCTCCCTCCTGAGCGCAGGAAAGGAGGCGGGGAGGCTAGAGCTCCAGGCCAGAGCAGGCGGGAGCGCACAGCCCTCAGGGACCTCGCTGCCCCTGCACCATCACACCATACACAGTGAAGCAGAGCCATGGGGCAGCCATCATCCCTGTCTTCAGCTTGGGTGCCAAGGCCCCCGTGGGGATGTCACCTTCCAGCTGGGCTCCCTGTGCCCTCCCCATGGTCACGGAGGACCAGGTTTGCTGCAGACCCACTCGTGCCCCTATGCAGATGCCCCAAGACACTGGACAACAGAGCTGGAGCAGCCACCGAGCACTGGTCCTTCTTTTTTTTTTTTGAGAGATTTTTGTGATAGGGCACATGCACTTGTGAGGGGGACAGAGAGCGAGAAATCACGCCCGGCGGGGACAGCCATGCTGCAATCCTTTCTCCTCCATTCTCCTCGCGGGATTTTGGGCCTGCATGTACAAGCGTCTGGTGTGAGTTTTAAGCTGCTGGGCGCGGGGTTCAAACTGCAGTGCTATATGGGAGTCCAGCGATGTAACCGCTATGTCACCTGCTGGTCCTATATGCACTGGTCATTCTGCCACTCCTGCCTGCCCCGTGGACAGGACAGGGTCTCCCACTGCTCTGAGAAATACTAGCCTGAAGGCCCGCGGGAACTCCTGGGGGACCTGGCCAGGCCTGTCTGCCCCATAGTTGGGCTTCCCACAGGCGGACGTGAAGTCATGAGCTCCTTACACCCCACACTGCGCACGATGGTCTGCGGGAGGGCGCGCCCGGTGTTTGCTGAGTGAGTAGTGGGCCACTAGGGTCTGCATGGTACTTTCAGCTTCTCCCCCTGCATCTGGGTCAGGCTCCTGGCCTGGGTCTCACCCTCCCTGCAGCCTGGCCCCGGTCCCTACCCAAAGCCCTCCCGTTTCCTGCACCATCTTAGAGCCATCTGTTGAAGGCTTGATCTTTTTTCAAAGGCCACATTAACTCCCTCTTCCTATAGAGGCCCTCCCTGGAGCCCCACTGCCACCTCCATCATGCCCTTGGCACTCTCCTGACACCCCCAGCAGCGCCCATGGCCCTCCGAATGCTCTCCTGGCAATGTGCCGGATTGTGGATCTTGGGGCAAGGACTGTGGCTTCCCATGGGCTCCCCCAGACCCACAATGAGCACTTGATGGGCACTGAAATACTCGCTCATGGGCCAGTGGTGGCTTGGAGGGTAAGGTGCTAGATCCCACATGGCTGACTGGGCCGTTCGTGTCCTGGACCTAGTGGTTTGAAAACCACACCAGGCACGTGTGCATGTGTATTCGAGTTCCCGAGAGGGGACCGGAGTAGAGGGGCTGTGGAGGGATGCGGAGCGGCCCTCCAGGGGGGCTTTCCTCTGTCTCCCTCTGGCAAGTTCATGTGCTCTATAGCAAAACACAGACAAATGAAAAGGACTCCCCGTTCCCTCCCCAGCCAGCCCCTCCATGCCCGGCCCGCGCCCAGGACCTCACCTCTCTCCTCAGCCTCCAGGGCTTCCTGCAGCAGACGGAAGGAGCTGGACTGCCGGGGTGCCGCCCGCCCCTCGCGGTTTTCTTGCAGCATCTTGAAGACTTCGGAGTCCTCCTCCAGGAGGTGGCCGCTCCTCTCCACACTGTGGTGGGAGGCAGGAATGAGGGCCCTGGGGGTGGCCGGGCCAGCATGGGGACAGGAGGAAAGTGTCCCCGGGGAAGGGGTTCGGGGCCGTTGGGGACCAGCTGGGCTCACTGGGGACCCAATCTCTCAGGAAGAAGGGGTCTCCCTCCCGACCCTCCCGGCCCTCCTGGCCCTGCTAGTACCTGAGCATGGGGCTGCAGGCACGGGGTCCGGGGGAGGGTGGCAATACCAGCACTGCCGAGTCACCAGCTGGGCCCAGGCCGCCCTGTTGAGGGAGCGTCGGGGACAAGTCAGGGTGGGCTGCCAGCACCCCAACAGTGCCCAGTGCACCGGTCCGCCACTCCCCGGCCCAACACCGAGGGCACCAGCAGGCCCCTGCAAGTGGCCGCACGGCCCCTGCCCTGGCTGTCAGGGCTGCCAGGGCGCCAGGGACGCTGCATTCCTGAAGAAGAGGGAGGACAGTGGGCACTGAGGAGGGTTGTGTGATCTGGAGGGACAGGACCGGGGACAGAGCAGACGCGCCAGGTGACAGGCCAAGTGCAGACTGTCCCCTGAACGTTCTGTCATGTCCTACCCTGCATGTCCATGGCCGAGGCACCCGGGGCTTGCTCTACCCTCAGAATGAGCAGAAGTGACAAGCCCGCCTTCCACAGGGAGGAGGCAGACACGCGAGGCCAGAGGGAGGGCCCTTCAGAGGCCTCCCTAGAGGCCCGTCTGCATTGCCCAGGGAGGTCTGCTCCTGCCACTCGCCCGCCCTGCCCTCCAACCCAGGCTGAGGCCCCGTTTGCTCTCTGTACCCACATAGCCTCCCCGTCTGCCCCCTTCCCATAGTGGAGCCTGTACCAGCCAGTGGGAAGGAGGCTCAGGGACGGCCAGACACTGGGCTGAGTCCCCTCGAAGCCAGACTGCAGATTGTCAAAGTCACGGACGAATTACGGGGTCAAGTGACAAAACTACACAACTCATTAAGCCAAAAGCAAAAACATCAGTTTCGGCCCTCTCCCCGCTAGCCGTCTTCCTGGTTCCCTGGTAAAATGACCATTGTCTCTAAGGAGACCACGGGGTTCAAGTGTCCTGCGCAGGGGCCCTGGCCCAGGGTAGATAGGCCTGACCTCTGGCCCAGGCTACCCTCAGGAGCCAAGTCCTCACTCTAGGCCAGCAGTGGAGGGGCATTTTTCCCTCCTCTGGCATCTGCTCACCGGGGCACGTGCCTACCCAGAGGCGGCAGCATGCCACTTCCAGAGGGCATCAGAGGCTGGGGGGCTTGGGAGCAGCGCAGCTCTGCCCTCTCCAGCCACAGCCCTGACTCCTGTACAGTCCAGCCAGGCCCCAAGAGCAGAGTGAGCCCAGCTCCCAGCCTAGACAGGTTCAGAGGGGGCCCTTCATCTCCAAGCCCAGGAACATGGCCTCCTCACCTGCCCATGGGGCTCACCTATAGGCAGTACCCCTACAAACCCGTTCTGGGGACCAGAGGTTCACAAGTGGCATGGGGGTGGGGGTGGGAGCAGGGGCCGCCAGGGGACAGTCTTCAATTAAATGACTGAGTTCAGGAAACCGTGGAGCCCAGGGTGCTGCGTGCTTACAGGACGGCTCAGGCCTTTCAGGTGCCGAGTGCACCGTGGCTATCAAGAGGAGCCCTGGGCCCCCGTGTTCCCACACCTACCAACCACAGCCTCGCTCATGGACCAGAGCTACGGTGGACAGGATGGAGGACACCCATTTCCTCTGAGCACCCCGGAACCTGGCAGGACGCCTGGCACAGGCAGCAGCTCGACAAGCATTTGTCAAAGGAATGACCGGGTCCTCAGGGTCAGACAGAAGGACACAGAGCATGTGGCCTGACTGAGGCTCAGAGACGGGCACTACCCAGATCTACTCCCTTAGCCTGGCTCCTCTTTAAGCTCCACTTGAGTTTGTTAAAACATACACCGGGGAGACCTGCAGGTGGCATAGTGGTTAAGGTGCTGGGCACCCACATAGCTGACCATGGTTAAAGTCCTGGACCTGGCAGCTTGAAACATGCCAGGCACATGTGCATGCATGCCCAAAATCCCGAGAGAAGAATGGAGAAGAGGTGGGCGTGGCCATCTCCCCGGGGATGTTTTTTGGCTTTCTCTCCCTTTCTCTCTCTGGCAAGCACACATGGCCTGTGGCAAAAAAAATTCTCAACGACAACAAAAAACCCATGCACCGGACGGAGGGCTAGATAGTGGCCCGGGTCAGACTGACACTGTGCAAGGCTGACCTGTGTGGGGAGGTCCGGGCTCAGGGCCCTGAGCACGCAGGACACACATGTGCCCATGATCCGGCCCTGCGGGGTCAGGACCCTCTGGGGGTGCTGTCTCTCTGAGTCTCTGTCCCTCATGGATGGTCAATAAGTCACCTTAAACAAGCGGACGCATGGCTATGTCCCCTCCCCAGGTCTGACTGAGTGGCCCAGGCTGGGCTCGGGGCCTTGGGTTCACCAGCAGCTCTGTGCAGGGTGAGCCTGGGCCCACTCCCTCAACCATGGTGTCCCCTCGTGGCCTACACTGCACACTCCAGGAAGGAGCCGGGGCTTGGGCGCAGGGTCCTGCTGAGACCGCAGTCTGGGGAGGGGGGCTGCCATACTCACTCTTGCTCACCTTATCTCAAAGCCCCCGGAAGGCCCCCGGCCCCAGACACACCCGGGTTCCCAGGACACTGCTTCACGTCTCCCAGAGCACCTAGCCATGCTCGTCCCCCAGTCTCAGCCTACATGTCCCGCCTCCGACTTCCAGCCAAATCCCTGAAGAGGCCGCCCAGGCCACCCGGCCCACACTCGCCCTCCCACCTCCTTCCCTCTTTAATTAATACCACACTGCTGAGCACTAATTGTTCCAAAATTGCTTCGCGTGTTCCTCTTATCTCCACAGTCGCAGAGTAAACTCTGAGGATGTCCCGTGGAATACATCGTGGCCCGCTGCCACTAGGCAGGCACACCGCGGGCACCAGGTAGTCCCGACTGGCAGCCCTGGAGGGTCCCGTTCCTTCCTGCTCCAGAGCCCTCAGTTTGAGACTGCCCCCACCCCCGCCACCCCCGAAGGCCTTGCTTTTTGGAATGCATAGAATTGACACAGAGGCAGGATCCCAGCAGCTGGGCCTCATCCCCTTCACCCCAAAGGCTGGACATGCCCCCACTCTGCCCCAGCAGCTGCGCCCAGGACTGCAACAGGCCCTGCTCCCCCCCCCAGCAGAAACCACCCAGGTGGGGGAAGGGTGGGTCACGGCCTTGGACAGTGGGGCCTGGGTGCAGGGGGTCTGGGAGAAGGACAGGGGGAGCCAGACAGCCAAGGGCAGCCTGCGGTCCCACGGGGTCCCAGGACTGTGTGGGAAGAGGAAGCGGGTGGGGGTGGGAGTGGGGCGGCTGGGGCTTGGAATGGGGAGGAATGTGCTCGAGGGATGCAGCCAGAGCCCAGAGCCCAGAGCCATCGGCCCACAACAGCAGCAAAACTATGTCAGCCCCGGCCCAAGAGCAACACAGCGAGGGGGTGCAGCGGGGCAAGGGCATGGCAGGGAGGAGGCGGCAGGAACCAGGAGGGACAGCCGGGCACAGCCGCCAGCCACCTGGAGCACTGGCTTCTGTCTCGGGGTGGAGGCACTGGTTGCCAGCACAGAGTGTCCCTGGACCCCAGCGGGCAGGTAGCCTCAACTGTCGGCTTTCGGGGCG